CGGGGAGGAGGAGGCGGAGGAGGAGCAGGAGGAGGAGGAGGAGGAGGAGGAGGAGGAGGAACAGGAGGAAGAGGAGGAGGCGAAGGCGGAGGCGGAGCCGGAGCCGGAGCCAGAGGCGGAGACGGAGGCGGAGGCTGGGCTGGAGCCGGAGATGGACGTGGAGGCGGAGATGGACGTGGAGGCGGAGGCGGAGGAGGAGGCGGAGGAGGAGGATGAAGAGGGTCAAGCGGAGGAGGACGCGGTGCAGGAGGAGGAGGAGTACGACACATAACGAACATACTAATACGAATCATAATCATACTGCTAGGAAAAATGTTAATATGACGAATCAGATTAAGAAGGAGGAGGAGGATAACAATACGAACGTTAATACTATGAACCATTATACATCGTCGCGCTGCTAAGATTATTATGATCTTTATTCCGAAGAAAAAGATTACGACTAATAGTATTAATACTACGAGGCATATTAATACTTATACTGAGAAGACTCATCATTTTACGCAGGTTATGAAGAATACCACGACGAATCAGAAAACTGATACGAATACTAAGAAGAGCGAGCCATATTAAGACTAGTAATACGAGTGCTAACAACAGTAAACATACCAAACATAATACTAGTCCGAAGAAGGCAAATTATATTCATGAGACGACTAATAAACATAATATTACCAACAATGTTGCTAATGATCATTCTTGTAACAGTAAAACAAGAAAGAAGAATAGTATGACTAATCGTAAGTTCTCAATGGTCATCGTAACAAATCATAAAGAGGAATAGTGCGAACACGAATCATCATGTTGATACTGCAATGAGTGCTAGCTAGCAATGCAAGAAACAGACTACGGCGAAGACGAATCATATTACAAAGAAAATTAAGATACCCAAGAAAACAAACCCAATCATAATCGTTTTCGGGCTGTAGGGCTACAGGGCTATAGGGCTATAGGGCTATGCGCTATTAGGCTATTGGGCTATTTGGCTATAGGGCTGTAGGGCTATGGAGCTATTGGGCTATAGGGCTATAGGGCTATATGGATATACGGCTATAGGGCTATTGGGCTATAGGGCTATATGGCTATAGGGCTATAGGGCTATGTGGCTATAGGGCTATAGGGAGATAGAGCACCTGGGCACCCGGGCACCCCCGGGCTCCTCTGGGCACCCCAGGTCATTTCCGGGCACCCCACCTCCGGTCACCTCTGGGCACCTCCGGGCACCCTTTGGAACCCGGGCACCCGGGCCCGCCGCCGAAATCGGCGGCTCACCTAATCGTATGAATCCGCTAGGACTCCTACGGAGGCAAGCTCTGATTGTGGAACTACTCATAGGAAGAATTTGATTACGAATCGGAAAACGAAACATAATCAGATTACTCATGCTAGTTCTAACAATCCCGATGTTACGAAGCAGAAACATAACAGCAATATTGCAAATGATAATAAGAAGGAGATACTGATGATGAGGAGGAAGAGGACGAGGAGGAAGAGGGATGGGGGAAAATGGAACAGGGAGGAAGGATCAGATGGAAGGGAAAAGGGGGGAGAGAGGGAGGGAGGGAGGGAAGGAGTGAGGAGGGAGGAGGGATGTGGTGGAGGAGGAGGAGGAGGAGGAGGAGGAGGAGGAGGAGGAGGAGCAGGACGGGGACGCCCGCCGAACTACTTCAGGACTTCGTTGGCCTCTTCGAATACGTGGAACCAGTAGCCGTTGCGATCAATGATATCGTTTCAGCTGGCCTCGACGTCGGCCTTCCAGGACGAGCCCGCAGACGTCAAGGTGAGTAACGTACGTAATTCGGGTCCCGTCTTCGGCTCGCTTGGGGGGGCCCTTCATACCGATGATGGCGAGTGGTATGCGCACTCGGATCTCAGCGGAGCCATTGCCATACGACGCCAGAGGCCACGAGGTGCATCCCCGGGCCCGTCGTGCAACGAGCCGGACCCCTCCCTCGCCCACCAATGCGAGGCAAAGCGGAACAGCAAGTCCTCGCTAGCCTGCGGCGGAGGCTCTTCCGGTGGAGTGCCAACACGATTGCGGCGGGCCCGCTCGTCGGCGAAGCGCGGCATCTGCGGACGGCAACACAGCCACAGAGGAGGCCGAGGGAGACGCGGGCGGCCGCTGGAGAGTGGAGCAGCAGGGATCTCCAGCGGCCATGCGGGCGTCTCTGCGGGCTCCACGGGTGCCACCCTCGCTGCGCGAGACGGAACGACAGGAGGACCCACCTGCGGCGAGGGAGACCGCAGTCGGACCGAAGAGGTTCACGACGGCAGCCTGACAGGAGCAGCAGCCGAGCAGGGCTGGACCTAAACGCTGTTTTGGCGGTTTCGTGGGCCGTTTTCGTTTCGACTTCGTTTTGCGGTAGAGGTGGATTGGAGACAAAACGAGGGACAACGAAAACAGAACGAAAGCGAAGAATATCGTTTAGGTTCAGCCCTGCAGCCGAGACGCCGGCAGGGCGGACGACCTTGGGAGCAGGAGCACAAGATGCGGGCGGCTGCGTGGGGACGGCTCCAGCTGCAGGGCGCCACCTCTGGAACCCACAGGTGCGCGTCAGCAGCGGTGCTAGACGAGCAGTGTTCGCGGTGGCCCGAGGCGTACTCATCTCGGGTATAGCCAGGACCCCGGGTAAGGGGACCCGGTTAGTGGCAGGGCCTTGGGGCCCCTCAATTGGCCAGATTCATTAAACCAGGTTTGCCGTATTTGGTGTTTTTCGGGTGACGGCAGTTCCGGTTAGTGGAAATGGGGCGCGGGGGCGCCCCCGGTACAAATCACTAAACCAGGTTCCACTAAACCCAGTTCTGCCAACGCCTGACCATCCGCCGGCGGCGGCGGCCGAGCCGTTGGGGATCTCCCAATCTCGGCCGCGAGCTTGGCCGCGGCCTGGCCTGTTGGCATCTCTGGGGGCTGCGCGCCCAGGTCTCGCTCTGGATCCCTGTGGAGCGCCGGCGCCGGAGGTTGGCCAAGCTGCTGGTGGCCCCGTCGCCCACGGGGGCCCAGGAGCAGGGCAGCGGCTGCGCCGCCGTCTCGCCAGGCGCCTGCACGCCCTCCGCAGACGCCCTGCACCCAGAGGCCAGGAGGTGCCCAGCCTGCAGGAGATGCCGGGCAGGGAGAGGGCACCGCACTGCCCATGAACATCTCAGGGCCTCAGCCGTGTGGAGGCAGAGGTTCCAGGCGCGGCAAGGCGCAGAGCTTTGGCGCGTCTGTCGTACCCAGGGGAGCAGCTAGGTCATTGCCGCCCCCCTCCTCCGACCTCCGAAACCCTTCTTAGCGTATCGTCAGACTCAGCGTGCAACCCCAGCCTCAGCCCTCGGCCGTAGCCCAGTCCTCCGCCCTCGCCCTCGGGCAGCAACCCTCGCGAAGGGCGCGACGTCTCGCGCGTCCTCGGGGCCGCGCGGGCGCGCGCGGCGTAACTGTGAGAGGCAGTCATCGATCCCCCTTCTTCGGCGAGACTATGTCGGCTCGTCGCCCCTGGAAGTGGTGCCCCGCCCCCCAGGCCCCTCGGGGTGGGATCCCACCAACATCATGCCAGTATTCCAACAAGACCCCCATCGGATTCCGGGATCCAACTTGGGAGCCCAAGAGGATTACAACACGAGCCCCGCGAGGGTCGCCCTATACTTTTGGGGGGCTCTTGCGGGGGAGCCTTTTGTCAGATCGTGGGGGCATGCTGCAGCAGTCTGATGCAGGAGTCCTGTGGAAGAGTGATGTGGGCGAGTGAATCCATTGGGGGAGAACCATCGGGGAACTCCTGTGGGGCAGCCTTACAGTTTGATGGGGGGTCTTCTGTGGAAGTCTGGCGCGGGAGTCCCAGTGTGCGGGTCTTGCGTCGGAGGTCCATGCGGGGAATCCGACGGGGGAGTCCTTTGGGGGATTCCCTGGTGCGGGAGTCCCAGGCATGAGTCTTACGGAGGAATGATATGGGGATTCCTGCGGTTAGCGAAGACGCCGCACCGCCTCGTGGAGCACCCTTCCTGAGATCCGACGGCACGAAGCACACGCAACATCGCGAAAAGTCGGCGGGGGGTCTGAGGTGACCCAGCATTGGCTCTTGGCCAGCAGGAAGGGCCGGGAGGTTCGGTTCCTCTGGGAGCCGTACGCTTTTTGTTTGGTCTTTGCTCTCTGCTTCTTGCTGTGTATGGTTTGCTCACTGCACTGTCTGTGGCTCTGTCCCGCCCTGTGGTGCACGTGTGTGCAGATGCACACGTGCGCACCGTGGCTCGCCCTCCTCGTCCCCCGGAGGCCGTTCTCGGGCCCCGGGGCCGCCAACACACACAGCCGGGGGCACCGCGTGGACCGTGCGCGAGGGGCCCAGCGACGGATTTTGCGAGCGGATGCTTCGTGCTTCCCCCCTGTCTTGATCGATTCTCTCGGGGCCCCTCCCTAGGGGAACGAGAAATGGCATAAACATGCAAACTCGGAGGTCCGCGCGGATTTCTTGGATCCGCGCTGGAGCCCCCTAGCGGCGCCTGCGGCGCCGCCCCTGGCGCGCTCCGCGCGCCAGGGATGGGGGGGTCCAGCGCGGATCCAAGAAATCCTCGCAGACCTCCGAGTTTTTATGTTTATGCCATTTTTCGTTCCCCTACCTCCGGCTCGGACCCATTGGCCGCCTCCAAGAGGGAGGCGGGCGGGCGAGGGGGCGGAGGCTGCAGGGCGCCGAGGGGAGGAATGGGAGGAGGGTGCGAGGACGAGGGAGGCGGGGGAGTCGGAGGAGCGGGGGGAGTGCGGAAGGGACGACTCGGGGGGGGCGGTAGGAGGGGTGATAGGAGAGATTGAAGAATAACCATTCCATGGAAGTGCGAACAGGAAGGACGTGCAGTGGACTTCATTCGCGACGCCTGATGCTGTCACGGCGAGTGCAGCGACCGGGATTTTTTCGGCGCAGGGCGTGGAACGTATGGTGCCGCAGCGGGGTTGCCCACAGTGGCGTTGCACAGTGTGGCTCGGGCCGTGGAGAGTCAGGAACGCGCCAGTTGCTACATACGGTCAGGATCTTCGGCTCGGTGTGTCGCGCCTAGGGGGCCACATGCGAACCCTACCCCTACCCCCTACGGTTTCTGAGGGGGAGGGTGGGGCTCACTTCGTTCGGGAGCTCACGAGCGAAGTGAGCCCCGTCCTCCCCCTCAGAAATCGTGGGGGGTAGGGGTAGGGTTCGCATGTGGCCCCCTAGCGCCGCTGGTTCGGGCCCACCACGCTTCTGAGCGAGCCTCTGTCCACGTCCCAGCCCCCGAGCGTCAGCGTCCCGAGCCGCTGCCCGCCTCCCGCACCGCGGAGCGGAGCGACGCGTTTTGTCCGCTCGCGCGTCGCCAGGGCCACCGTCGCGACATGCTTAGCAGAGGTTCCCGACCGGAGCGTGGGTCGGGCCGTGGAGTCGGGAGCCTCGAGACGGGGGTCAGTGCAGACGGGGGTGAGCCAGGGCGCCGGATCCTGCAGGATCCTGCGAAGACCCCCTTTGGCTGACCCGGGTTAGCGAGCCGCTCGTGGCCGCGAGGCGGCCGCGCCTATTGGCTGACCCGGGTTTGCGAAAACCTGCGTTGCAGTTTTTTTCCTGCATTGCAGTTTTTGGTTTCCTGCTGACCCGGGTCTGGATTGACCCGGGTCAGAAGATCCCCGATGGAGAATCAGGAACGCGATAAGTTCCACGCGAAGCACGGGCGGGCATTCAAGAGACTCAGAACATGTCTTGGTCGCGGCATATGCAGTGAGGTGGCGGGCGTCCCGCGACAGCTGCTGCATCGTCTTCGCTGAGCGTGGGAGGTTTTTTTTTTTTTTTTTGTTTTTTTTTTGTTTTTTTTTTTCCTTCGTCTTCTTCTTCTTCTTCTTCTTCCAACACGTTGAAGCATGCTCGGTCCTTCAGAGTGATGCTCCCGCTGCAGCGCTTGCCGCATGTCAGGATCGGTGCGGACGTTTTCGCGCCCCGAGCTGCGATCTGTCTGACGATCCCAGGGCACAGTGAAGGCCCCCAGAGGCCAACAACTGGCAAAACCTGCCGGCGCATCTCCTTTCACGCCGCGAGGAGGTCTGGGTCCCCCCCCCGACGCCCGAGCTCAAAGTCCGAGCCCGAGCCCGAGCCGCCGCTCGAGCACCAGCCTGAGTCTCAGCCCCCGTGCCCAGCCCCGACCCGAGCCCGAGGCCGAATCAGATCCGCAGCCACAGCAAAGCCGACAAGCAGATATCTGCACGGCAGAGCAAGTTGCACGACGGAGTGAGATGTCTGAGCAGAATTGACATTCGTATATCGAGATCGGCGCTCTCAGGAGTTCAAACTGAATCTGAATGCAGTTCACCATCCAACGGTCTGACAAGCAGCTGTACGGCTATTCTGAATCTCGAAATCCAGCAGAACAAATGCCGCCATTTTTGCTCATCATCCTGGCTGCGCGAGAAATCCGACCGTGAACCAAACCTCCGGGTGGGTTTTGGAGGTCATCGCGGCGATCGCGGTAGCCTCAAATCGGGGCAAGGTTTTTGGCCAGGAGTTGCATGGCCCCTTCCCAGCCCCCCCCCCGCTCTGCGAGTTAGACGCAGCTCGCCATCACCATTATCATTATCATCATCATCATCATCATCATCATCATCATCATCATCATCATCATCATCATGCCATCATCATGTGATCGTCATCATCATCAGCGTTATTATCATTATCATCATTGCCACCAACATCATATTCGTCATCATCATTATCACCATCATCACCATCATCATCATCATCACCATGCTCATCACCATCACCAGCATTGTCATCATCACATATCTATATCTAGCGAAAGAGTGCTGACAACTTATGTCCAACATTGACAGGTCTGATTCATCGGTTATGAGTCGCTGGTCATTCAACCGCATCACTCGGCGTCACCCCAACATACTTATACTATGTATTCGTCGCCTCCCCAGGGGCGACGCACGCACCGAGAAATCTGACAGTAAATGCGTTGTGGCGGGCGCTTCCTGGCCAGACCGCTCGGGAAACGATATTCTCCAAGATGAGCACACTGCATGTTCGGGCCAGACGCGCGACTCCAAGGAGGACATGTAGTATTAGTATGGGGAGGGGGGGGGGGAAGACGAACACAGCTTTCAGTGTGCTGGAGTCCCTCCCCCCCGGTGTACTCACTCGTCATCCTTCTTCTGCTCCTCCACCTCCTCCTCCTCCGCCATGGAGACTCGGGATCCTCCTCTTCATTATCCCTCTCCTCCTCTCCCTCCTCCGTCCTTCACATCCTCCTCCACATCCTCCCTCCCTCAGACGCGCGCCTGCCGGGCCACCTCGCCCACCTGGCGCACGTGGTCCCCTTTGCGGACGCAGGCCCCCGATAGCGGGGCGGGCGGGTGCTCGCGCGCGGCCCGAGCCTTGGGGGGGAAGGGCAGGGCTGGCGACACGGGGTCGACGGCAGGGCTCACCTCGATTCCTCCGACTCGATGCGATTCGATCTCGATTGGTTCCGAGTCCGATTCCGATTCGAGTCGACCTCGGAATCCGATTCGCGTGCACATTAAGTGCCCGCCACTGTGCCTGCACGGAGTGGGCGTGCTGGAACCTGGGCCGGGCACGGGAACGGACAGAGCGGGAACGTGGAGCGGATATTGCACACGGTCTCGGGGGTTCGGCGGCCGTTTACGCGGCAGCGATTTGGACACAAGGATTGCCATGCATGCTTGTTGGAGCAAACTGGAGCGCGAGTCACGGTAGGACGGCCGGCATGGTGATCGGAGTTGTTATGTCACCGTCCGCTCCGAGGAGCCTTGGCGGTCAGAGTGTTTGACGGCACGGTTCGCTCTGGTGGGGCCTCGTAAGAGGCTCTTGGAGGTATCTCGGAGTGCCTCTTGGAGGCCTATTGGGGGTCTTTTGGGCCGTTTGGGGGCTAAATTCTCGGCGGAACTGCGGCAAAGTCAAATGCGCCGGGAGTGGGGCTCTGATCGGAGAGGGCATGCGTTGCTTATTGCATGCGTTCCCGCATTGTCTTGAGGCTCCGTCGGAAGGCGCGAATTTATATATGTGTTTTGATTTGGAGCTGAGCTCGGTGCGTAGACCGGCGTGGTTGGGGAGGGTTTTACATGCACAGCGCTGGGGGTGGGGAGGATTTGTTTTATGGATAGCGCTATTGTTGGGAAGGTTTCGTGGGAATTGAGACGGATTTTAAGCTGACAGCGATTGGGCTGGGAAGGACTTTCGAGCTGGGAAGGATTTTAAGTCGAACTCGTAAGGGATTGGAGAGGATTTTCGACTTGAGAGGGATTTGCAATGGAAAGCGCTGGGGTCTGGAAGGACTTGGGAATTGGAAGCGGAAAACTTGTGGCTTGGGGCGGATTTTCGGAGCCGGGAAGGATTTAAGATGGAAAGCGCTGGGGTTGGGGAGGAGCTTGGAGGCGGGACGGATGTGAGGTTGAACGCGCTGCAGCTGGGGAGGATTTTTGAGCTTGGTCAGATTCAAGTGGAAAGCGTTTTGGTTGAGAAGGATTTTGGAATCAGGATGGATTTTTGGTGGAAAGCGCCGGGTTTGGAAGGGTTTTTGGGCTTGGAAAGGGTTTTTACTTTGAAGCGCTGTTTTGGTGAGGGTTTTTGAGTTGAGTCTACGTCTAATTCAAGCCGTGCTCTCATACGGTGCATTGGCAGATCAAAAGTTGATGGAATCACTCTGCGGAGGGAGGGGGAAGCAGGAGGACGAACGAGGAGGAGGAGGGGGAGGAGGAGGAGGAGGAGGAGGAGGAGGAACACAGGGAGGGGAACGAGGCAAGACTTAAAAGCGAATGCGTTAGCAGAAGATGATACACGCAAGGGGCCCACTGCTGTTTTGGCCTTCCCCTGCGTCGCCAGTGCGCCCATCTTCTGGGCAGGTCAGTGCCAGGCTGGCAAGTTGAGAGTCTGAGAGGGCTGTCCCCGGGCAGTGCTGCGGTTTTCTTGCACAGCGCTGCTTGGCGCCAGCGACGTGTGGAGCTCAATGGATGTTCCCCGGCTCGCTCCAGAACCTCTTTACTCTCGTGAAACATATGCGCTAGGAAGTCTTAGAACTCGTCTCAGACAAAACTATAGACTGTACAATCCTATGTTTCTGGTGCGGCTGATGTAAGTGTGCGACCAACACTTAAAACAACAACAAATTCTGAAAGCAGCCTTTGGCTTGACCGATTATCCTGGTCACTGCTGGTTCTGCTATACATTTCACGTTCAGCAGGCTCCCAATATACACTTCTTGTTCCACCGCTGTGAGTGGGGCTCCTGTGGGTGAGAAGATCACACCATCATAGCACACGTTCATGCACACAGTCTTGCCAAAATTCAGATCCACAACGTACCTGTTGCCTTCGTCGATTACAATGTCGAGTAGCTTTTTTTGAATTTCCTGGAGTCGCTGCTGAGGAGCATGTTATCATCTGCGTAAACGAGGTCACGGCATACCAAGTAGTCTGGCTCCCAGATGTCAGCGTGGAGGCGATCCATGCGCTTGTCCATGTCGTAGAACATCACGCTCCGCACGACAATGAACAGGTATGGCGAAAGAGGGCAGCCTTTGGGCAATTCCTGCTGCCTGGTTCCACAGGCTTGAGTCCCCTGCTGGGCCCTTCAAGATGAAATTCCTGCATTTGTAAATGGCCGCCACCATGTTCAGCATGTCCGCGGGTAGGCAAGTCTGCGAGGAGCGTTTTTACTCGATCATGTGTTTTGGACCAGTCTAACAATACTGAAATTAAGCCTGGTGCCTGGGCTGTTTGCGCTGCTTCGAACATCCGCCGTGCGATGCTAATGGCTTGGGCCGTGCCTCTTTTAGGAAGAAAGCCGGAGTGGCTAGATCGTATTCTTTTCTCGGGCCCTCCAGTCTGAATGCGTTCTGGTAACATCCAGGCAATAATGTTGCATTTAATTGTCAATACAGATGTTGGCTAGTTTTCTGGCAAACTCGCGCCGCCGTTTTTATGTAAACGTGCAATGATCGACTGATGCCACTCGTGAGGAATATCTGATTTGCTCCAATCTTTGAAGTCATGTCAATAGTTCTCCGCATGCTTCTGAAGTGCGCCCCAATTCTTTCCACAGCTCCTGGGCTATATCGTCTATGCCTGCAGACTTCCCTGTAGCTGAAGCCTTCAATGTATCCTGAAGCTCCTGCATCCCGAAGGTGCCAGCGTAAATTGGCAATGTGTCCCCCATGTCGTCGTGCCCATTGGGTACAAGGGTAGCATAAATGATTTGCCATTGCACTTCTTCGAAATCATCTTCAAGAGTATCAGCCCGCTTTGTGCTCTCCACGAACTGCCCTCGTTCATCTTGAATTTGGATTGGTCGTTTCGGTACTTTCTTGTATAATGCACGCGCAGCTTTCTAGTGGACCCGCTAGTTTGGAATCCAACCAGTCACGCTTGTCTTTCTGCACCGACGGTTTGATGCGCTCGTTCAGTTTTTGCTGTTTCGTCAGATTGCCCTGCCGTTGAGCATGATCACGCAGATTCAGTAGATCAAGCGTGACCGCAGAGATCTACGGTCGTCGCGGTAACCTCCCGGCTGGCTGAAGTATGCTGGCTGCGTTTTCCATGGCATCCTTGATGCGGCTGGCATGCGAGTCCCAATTCAAATCGTCAGTGGACGCGACGGTGGTTTCGCAGAACTGGCGAAAGCTTCAGCCAGCTGCTTGTCATAAGCCAACATCTGCTTGCAATAGTTCGTCCTTGGCCGAGTGTTGGGCATGTTATCGAACTCCGGGTCGATGAGCATGCGTAGTAAGAAATGCCACGAAGCCAATGAGCATGACCGGTCTGCCCCCCAAAATCGCTATCTTGTTGATTGTGCTGCGGTCGGCGAGGCAACAATCGATTAGGGCGAACCCCCACGCAGGACTGGTTTTGTCGACTTCTGCCCCGTAGTGCGTTCCTGGCTCCTCCGGGGGCGCTCGAAAAATTGGCAATGGCGCTTCCCATTGCTCTGCAAGTTTCCAACAGAAGGTCCTCCTTCAGATATTTTGTTCTTCTTGGCCTCGCGCTTCGACACATCGTCGCCTATGATGTCCCCCTCGCCAGGCTCGCGATCATAAAGTTTAGCATTGAGGTCACCTAGAACAGCGCTGCAGACATGTTTGCTGGGTGCCGGGCAAGTGTCAGCTAACTGGTCGACAAAAGCATCGCGTCGAATTTCATCGTAGCTTCCGTGGGGGACGTGCGCAGATCAGCACGCCGCCCCGAACCTCAAGTTTCAAGATGGCGAGCCTGTCCGAAATAAGCTTGTTATCTATGGCCGTCTTGATGGACCCAGGGTGCAATCAAGAAACCGACGCCAGAGTAACATTTTCCATCCAGTTGTGGTTGTGACGTGCCCGGCAAGATGATCATGCAGTCATTGCCAAACGTCCCAACGTGCGAAGTTACCCCAGTCGCTTGCATGCGTAGTGCAGCAATGGTGTGTTGGAACATGTAGTGTTCCAGCTCTGCGATCTTAGCCATATCGTGGCCCGAGCCTTCAACGTTCCAGCTGCCGGGCGACTGTGGGTGCAACGGCTTGTTGGAGAAGATCTTGGAATAGATGAGGTTGGCACCAGCGAAGTCTGGTGGTGTAGATTTTCGTCCTCGCCGGCTTGTCCATGACGGTCCCAGCGCTCTCCGCTATACACTGGTGGCTAGGCGGCGCACGTCGAAGGAGAACACCGCCGTGCCAGCTCGGCAAATCGGATGCCTCCAGGGACGCAACCAAGACAATAGTGCAGAAGAAGCCAGGGGAATAGAGGGAAGCGACGATGAAGGCGAAGAAGCGCTGCGTAGCTGGTGGCGCGGTCTGGCATTTTTGCCCAGGCACGGCGCGGACAAGATGTGCGCATCATCGTTCTGCATATCGGTATTCATTCCTCCGCCTTCCAGACTAGTGGTGCGAACGGTGTGAAGATCTGCGTGGCGACGGCATTGGGGAGGGGAAATGAAGCTGGCAGGAGGGGGCGTGCGGAGGTCGAAATTTTCGGAGGTGTCGGAGTCTTTGTCCGCGCCAGAAGTCGATGCCGCTTCGCCGCACGATGTTTAAATGGAAAGCGCGAAGGTCGAGAAGGATTCTTGGAGTTGGGAATGATTCAAAGTGGAAGGCGCTGGGATTGGGCAGGATTCAGGAAGTTCGGAAGGGCTTTGCACGCGGCGCGCAGGGATGTGGGGGGGGATCTTGGAGTCTGGAAGGGTTTGAGGTAGGCGGCGCTGGGGTCGGGGCAGGTTGGAGCGGCGGCGGATTTTTTTATGGAAAGCGCCGGGGTTGGGCAGGATTTTGGAGTTGAGGGGGCAGGGCCCGCATGCGGGGACCGCCACCCATTTTGGCACACCCCTCGCACGGTTCGTGGACCAAGAAGGGGCTCCACCGAAGGCCCCAGCAGCAGGGTCCGCATGCGGGGACCGCCACCCATTTCGGCACACCCCTCATACGGTTCGTGGCCCCACAGGGAGCTCCACCGAAGGCCCCAGCAGCAGGGTCCGCATGCGGGGACCGCCACCCATTTCGGTACACTTCTCACACGGTTCGTGGCCCCACAGGGAGCTCCTCCGAAGGCCCCAGCGGCAGGGTCCACACGCGGGGACCGCCACCCATTTAGGCACAGCCCTCACGAGGATTGTGGCCCCACAGGGAGCTCCACCGAAGGTTACAGTGGCAGGGTCGCATGCGGGGACCGCCACCCATTTCGGCACACCCCTCACACGGTTCGTGGCCCCACAGGGAGCTCCACCGAAGGCCCCAGAGGCAGGGTCCGCATGCGGGGACCGCCACCTATTTTGGTACACACCTTACGCGGTTCGTGGCCCAACAGGGAGCTCCACCGAAGGCTCCAGTGGCAGGGTTCGCATGCGTCAACGCCATTCCTTTCGGCACACACACACACACACCTCACACGGTCCGTGGCCCCACGGAGCTCCACCGAAGGCCCCAGCGGTAGGGTCCGCATGCGGGGACCGCCACCCATTTTGGCACACCCCTCACACGGTTCGTGGCCCCACAGGGAGCTCCACCGAGGGTCCCAGTGGCACAGGCCGCATGCGCCCGATGCCCATTTCGGCACACCCCTCACACGGTTCGTGGCCCCATATGGAGCTCCACCGAAAGCGGTACCCACAACGCGGTATTCACAATTGCGCATGGTTGAGTCCTTCGCCAGGATGATTTTTTGGGGGTCCTGGGAGACCAGAGAAATTCCGCCTTTCCCGAGCCCCTCTTGAGAGGGGGGGTTGTGCAGGTGCTCCCGGGAACTCCCACACTGGCCTCCCGCTGGTCGCCGTCGCCCTCCATCGTTCTCTTCCTCCTCGTCGTCGCCGCCGCCGCCCCCGCCGCCGCCGCCGCCGCCGCCTGCGCAAGGACCCCCGCCGCCTCCGCCCGCGCCCAGCGCCCCTGCGCCCGCGGCCGGCGGCGCCCGCGGCGGCGACCCGGCCCGCGCCGCGGCCCGGCTGGGCGCCCCCGGCCGCGGCGCGGGGCGGGGTGCCGCGCCCGGGCGGCGGCCGCTCTGGGGCGGCCGCGGGGCGGGCGTCGCCGGGCGGGGCCGGGCGCTCCGCAGGCGCAGGCGCTCGGGAGCCTCGAGACTCTGGACGTCCGAAACGGATACGGGAATCAGGGGTACAGTGCCCAAGAGCAGTCCCTGTTCATCTCGAACAGGATTCGCTGTCCCCGCCGCCGCGGCCTGCGTCAGTTTGGGGCAGAAGGCCGCCTGCTCAACAGCGGCCGCTGTTGGTTTGGGGCAACATTTGTTGTTGGGCATTGTACCCATTTTTTCCGTACAAATTTCGGGCGTCCAAAGAGACGGGGGTCGATGCAAACGGGGTTCAGCCAGAGTGCCCGATCTTGCAGGATCCTTCAGGGTCAGGGTCGCATTGGCCTGGGCTTGGGTGCAGGGCCCTGCAGGATCTTGCAGGATCCTTCGCCTTGACTTGGGTTTGGGTGCAGGATCTTGCAGGATCTGGCAGGATTCTGCAAGGGCTGGCTGACCCGGGTCTGGATGGACCCGGGTCAGAAGATCCCCGAGGCGCAGGCGCGGGGCTCATTTCGACCCCTCCGACTCGATTTCGGTTCGATCTGCCGATCGGTGCCGAGTCCGGTTCGATAGTCGGCCTCGGGTTCCGATGTGGGTTCCGTTTTTTCTCAAGGGACCTTCCTGCGAAGCGGGGATTCCCGCCTCGGACTTCCCAGCCTGCCGGTTGCCGCTGATGCGACTTCTCCCGTCCTGGCTGCCGATCTCCGCCGTTGCGCTCCGCCAGCGCAGACCCTGAGCCCTCAGCCCTGTGCCCTCAGGCCTGAGCCCTGAGCCCTGTGCTCCGTGCTCTGTGCCTTGCGCCCCGAGCCTTCAGCCCTGAGCCGTGATCCCTGAGCCCTGGGCCCTGGGCCCTGAGCCCTGAGAACTGCGCCCCGTGCCCTATGACCTGCGCCCAGAATCCCTGAGCCCTGAGCTGTGATCCCTGAGCCCTGGGCCCTGGGCCCTGAGCCCTGCGCCCTGCGCCCTGAGACCTGCGTCCTGCGCCCTGAGCCCTGTGCCCCGGGCCTTGTGCCATGCGCCCTGCCCAGACTTGAGCCCTGGGCCCTGAGTTCTGAACCTTTAGCCCTGAGCCCTGAGCTCTCAGCCCTGAGCTCTTGGCCCTGGGCTGTATGCCCTGGGCCCTGAGCCTCGAACCATGGGCCCGAGGAGTCCGGATGAATCCAGAATCCTGAGGCACCCTCAGTAGCCTCTAGATTCCTGCAGAATCCGCAGGAATCATGCAGAATCCGGAAGATCCTCGTACACTCCCGAGGAATCCAGAGGGCTCATAGTAGTAGTAGTAGTAGTAGTAGTAGTAGTAGTAGTAGTAGTAGTAGTAGTAGTAGTAGTAGTAGTAGTAGTAGTAGTAGTAGTAGTAGTAGTAGTAGTAGTAGTAGTAGTAGTAGTAGTAGTCTTAGTAGTAGTAGTAGTAGTAGTAGTAGTAGTAGTAGTAGTAGTAGTAGTAGTAGTAGTAGTAGTAGTAGTAGTAGTAGTAGTAGTAGTAGTAGTAGTAGTAGTAGTAGTAGTAGTAGTAGTAGTAGT